AAGTTGCTGCAAAAAAAAAAAAAAAAAAAAGGAAAAAACAAACAAAAGGAGAAAAAAAGGAAGGAATTCAAATCAATTACGGTTGAAAGATTACAGAATAGATACAATTTGCAAGTTACAATTTCTGCATTCTAGTGAAAAAGGCTAGAGAAAATTTTTATTATATGATGAATAAGCAATACGATATGACGTAAAATGATACGGTATAAATATGCAAGACAGAGATTCCGCATCTTTCGAGACTAACACATCCATAAAATTATGCAATCACTACTATCGATAAAAAGTTATGATCTTGGTACTTTTTAGAATTTCAGGAGCAAAATGAATGCAAAAGTTGGAGTAAACAGACTATCATAAGCATTGTCAAAGTTGAATTGGAAGTTATAATTGGAATTCCGTTAAAAATCAATTAATTTAATTTGATGGCTATGTAATAAGGATTAATCACTTCTTTAGCATAAAATTTGCCATTAATCAAAATGAAATTTTTTGTATAAGATATGTTGTTATCATAAAAACAAAAAAATGGATTATGTGATAACCATTTTTGATATTCATGGATATATTTCAACAAAGCGGTGATTTGATAAGTCAGCAACTTTCATATAATTAATTAACTGAAAACATTGATGCTTTCGCATTTGTTTCGCAAAAATTGTTAGATTTATCGGCTAAATTTCAGTTTCTGTAAGAAATGAAAGTACTTATTTAAGCTGTCCTACTTTAGCCTACATTCTTTGTAAATAATTCGTATTAATTGATAATAGACAGAATTTAATTTTAAAATGAAAATAAAATTGGTTTCATTTGAAAATTTAGAAGAAAATGTAGACACTTTTGAATTTTGAATCTAAAACTAACAAAATATTTGCTGAATGCAAATTGTCGCAAGCTTTGATAGCATAAGTGAATTACATTTTGTTTACTGTACTCATCTTTTGTGCGTTCTAATGATATTTCATAGAGTGCATATATCGTTAATAGGAATGAAGTATAAAGGACGATAAAAAGCTGGATGATTGTAGCTGTGTGAAGTATTTAAAATTGTATGAAATAAAAAGGAAAGATGAACAAGTTGATAGAATGGAAAATAGTGGCGCAAAATAGATTAGGGATGGAAGATGTGCTGATCAAGTAATTATCATAATGATTAAATAGAGCTAAAAGTGGATTCATTATTTAATAGTTAATTTCCAGCTTTTCCCATTACCGCAATCTTTATCAATTTGCATATTTTTTTCTGGAAAGAACGGTGGTTTTCATCTCTAGGAAAGAAAATTGGCCCCATGAGGAAGTGAAATGAGCAGTAGCATGATGCAATATAGGCTCAAATAAGCAATAGTACTATGCGCCTTCCGAATAAATTACTGGCCAATCGGTGTGAAGGATGTTGATAGATAGATTTGGTTTTCCTTTTTCCTTCTTCCATCCGGAAATTGATGTCGATCTTGATGATCCGGTTTGCACTTCCCCACATCCTTTTTCTTCCTTCTCCTTCCCCTCCTCTTTCCACTGTTTTCCTTTTCTTAAAATCTACAGAACTTTCTAATTTTTCATTGATTTTCAATATATTGCGCAGAAGGCTTCACTTATTATCTGGCCATGTTTCCCAGATAAGCATCTACGTCGAGGCATATTCAGTTATGTGTAGATATGCAATGATTACTATATCAGATGTATGCCCTAATTTCATTTCACGTTTACAGTTCGTCAACATCATGTCTATAATACCTTCTGATTGGAATGTCTAACTTAAAGTCACTACTCTTTTGAGCTAGGTTCAACGTATGCTGTCTAAATATTTTTCAAATTAAAGAATTACTTTGCAAAGGAATTTGTCAAATCTTGTATGTTCATGTAATTAAGAACACTTTAATGATGACTTGCGGTTTGAAAGGCAATGTATATAAGGGAAGAAAAGACAGTTAAAGCATAGTTTGGGAATTGAAAGAGAATGATGGAAGTATCGGTAAAGCTGACAATTAGGAAACGATGGGAAAGAAAGGCGGGGAAAGGAGGGACAGGGATAAATGAGGAAAGAAAAGGGAAAAGTTTTTGGAGCGGGAAGATATTAAATAATAATGTCCAGTAATAAATTGATTTCATTGAAACAGCTGCATCGAGAATGTCCAAAAGATGGAACCTGTTTGCTTGCATTATTCGACATTCGAAAACGCATAATAAACATTTATGATTGCACTTCCTTCGATTAGGGCTCTTTGGCTGAGCAGTAGCAATTAACAGTCTATAAAATTTTTGGTACGGCTGTTCTAGCTCCTTTCTAGCTAGTCTTCCCTTCATCATTTTGGCTTCAACTTAAGTTGTCTTTCTGGACTTACAAACTCTCATCCTTCAAGTATTTTGACCTCCGAAACAATACAAATCAATAGTTATAAGAATAATTAAGTCAATTAAGCAATCTCTAATAACTCATCTCATTAATTTAGGCCAAATCTAGTAATCCATTATCAACGCACTCAATAGCAAGCAATACTAGCTTATAGCATTACAGTGTTGTCACTTCTGATCTCCTGAATTGAAAAGCACAATTTGTTGAACATTTGAATTTCAAAATTAACATTAGCTGATACAAGTACTTTAGATAACACTGTTATTTTTGATTCATTTCGTATTAGATCAGACAACAACATCTACTATTTTAGATAGATGTCAGGAATCAAGTAATACTTAACTAAATGATTAAATGTACGTCCAGATTGCTGACATTATTTAAAGTTTTCTTTGAACAGTAAAAATCGTTTTCGGCCATTCATTTATATTTCTTCTAGGTTATATTCCAGCAATAGTTTCTCATAATTGCAATTAAGAGAAAATATCTGCTCTCTTACAAAAGTCAAAAGAAATAACTTATTTGCCAGATCCATAAAAGTTCAAATTTATCAGACTCTAATATTTCTGGTTTAAGCACCAGTAGATATTATGATGACAAGAATAATATCGAATACATTTTTACATTCAGAATTTAATCATACTGAGAAAAGCTTCTATACCGTATATCATTAAAATGTGTGGTACCACTACCTGCATCACTAGAACATTGGGATATATCGATTTTCTATGTAAATCTATTTTTGTTACAAATATAATTTCTGAAGTTGAAGGAATTGGGAAGAAATTAGCTTTATTATGAGAAAGTGATAGCCTAAATCGTTAGGATTATCTTCCATCATATTCAGCTTATAATAGTTTGAATACACTAACTGCATTGATACCGACCGCTCAGCGGTCTCAAGTTTTTAAGGAAATAATAAAGAAATGAATTAAGTAATTGATGGATCATTTGACGAGCGGTCTACTTAGGACAGTAATTATTGACTTTGTTCATCCATCATCATTAGAATCAATTGATTACTCTTGTGATTCTCAAGAACGAATAATGAACTTACTGGATAATCTAATTGGAATCCGCTTATCTCCCATATTTTGCCTCATTTTCTTTGCCGTGGGACCAATTTTTTTTCCTACATAGATTAGACAGAAATTATTCATTGTTTTTCAGTCTTTGTCCTTTACTAAATAGCTTGAATTCATTTTAGTACACTGCTTCAATCGTTTTTCCTTTCATTTGATTGACGGCCATGAAGTTATTTCTTTGAAAATGTGCTAATAGATTCATTGGCTTGCAAGCTTATCGTATCATTTTCCCAACTCATCACTTTTTGATAGCCACACTTTCAACCATTTAACATTCTCATCAATCAACAATGAATTCGTCCCAAACTATTTGAAAGCAATCATTATAGTTCTTCATTGAATTTTTCACTTTGACTTTAGCCATCTTACAATTGTCAAAATCTCAATGTTGTAGCATTTGTATAAATCATCTCTAACAAAACGCTGTTAGGAACAGCACCATGACCTGCCAAAATAAATTTACTGCATTGTTGAAAGAATCTACTTGAAAGCACTAGCACTATAACAACCACTTTCCGGTAAGCGATCTCAATTATTAAAGTTTATTTTGAGGAAAAACGAAAGCTTTTATTGGTTTAATTAAGAAAATAAAAATCAGAGAATTGGAAAAAATTGCTGCAACATTTCAAGCGGAAGTGGAAAGCCATAAGAAAGAAGAAAAAGAGTATTTGAGAAACAATTGGATGAAAGACATATATTTGCAGTTGCTAATAGATATTGCTTACTTATTAGTGATGCGATTGTATGATTAATGATAAATGCTCTTATTGCTTATTCGTTACTGATACGATAAAGTGAAGAATCAAATAGAAAAGATGTATATAGATATGTATGTACATAAATTGATATTGATATTCAATGGTTGTTGATTGAGATTAATATTCAATGGCTGAAATTATATGGTGCAGAATGGCATAACTCTGGGGTCAACAAATGACACAAAGCGCATTTTCAAACAACCAATTAACATGGCTAATTAATCAGCTGCACAGTTTAAAGTTTGTTTAGTGGAGGCAACAACTGCTTTATCTTTTCTAACATTCCAAAGGCGGGAAGGAAAGAGATAAGCCCATTTCATCAGCACATTTATAATCACCGCATTTCTAATCACATCTATTCAATTGTCTAATATCTGTCCAACATTAATAAAATTTTCATCTCAGAATCTGAGAATATGATTAGACAGACCATCACTTCAAACAAATAAACACATGCTAACAATTGCTTTTCATTCATTCGTTGATTTCATCAAACAAACGAATATTGCAAAAACTGCTTGTTCTAACTCTATTACGTTAAAAATATCTAAAAATATTAATAAAGCCTTTTTCGTTCTATCCGTTATAAATTAACTTTCCTATTCAAATGAACATTAATTATCAGCCAATAATTTCAATTTACAAAGCATAAGTCACACTTCAATTACTGACAATAATTACGATATACACCGTAATAGATAAATATTGAATTAAGTCTTAAATACTTATAGATATTATGATAATTCTACTACTCATCAAATAGTTTGTTATGTTATTGTATTGCTAAACAGTTGGTTGAAAAAATGACTACAATTGTCATTATCAAAAGGTCAATTAATTCATTGTCTGAATACAGTACTTCCTGTACTATTTAGTCCTACCTATTCTTATGTATCTGACACTATCATCATTTGTTAAAGAAAAGATTTGCTGAAACAATGCCCTTTGACACATAGTGACCCAGCATTATTCGACAAATTCAAACAACAAAAAATTCCACAAAAACTTATACTGATTCAAATTCTGGATGATTTCACTAATTACAAAGAATGCTAAAATGACAATAAATTGCCTAATTATACTGCGAGATAATAATTATCATTGAGTAATCCGTCCATCCAATGCATTATATTTCAAGTTTCTAAAATTTCTCTTATTGGACTAACGTCCTATAAAAATCTGCAATACAATCCAAATTTTTTAAGCCATTTTTTTTTCAGATAGATATCTTACGGGAATGATATAAAGAGAAAGTAGAGGATGGAAATTTTAAGTAATATTAAAAGTAAAATTTCCATAAAGTATTCTGAAATACAAATTTCGCACCAAACAGAAAATTTCATCCAAAGTTATAATGAAGGAGGAAGAAAAAAAGACATTAGGAAGATGAAATTGTTTTTATAATTACGTAATTGTTAGGTAATTATTGAGTCAACCATTTAACCAAGGAAAAAAAAAGAAATTACGCAGATATATGAAATAAAACGAAATATTGCCAATCCCTTATAAATATGCAATTTTACAATATACAACAAACTATTAACAATTCAAATTCGGAATCGATATAATCTAATTTAAAATTTCCTAGCAACTACCCGCCCCTTTCCCACTCTATGCACCATAATAAATTCCCTCCTACCCTGCTATTAACTTCGACGAATTGCAATGCATATAATGGTATTTCGATTTCTGTACCGGTAAGCAGAAAGACCAATGAGATTCGCTTGTTAACAAAACAGAGAAAGCTATTTGCACTCAGCAATTAAGTGAACAGTTGTCAGTGATACTGCACTCCATCAATCAATCACTTGATCATCAATTCGGCTTACTTTGATTGTCACAAAAATAATCATTGCCATTGCTACTATCCAAAAAGCATTAAGTTAGCGTGATAGATAGAGAATTGAAATTAGCGGTGTGCAACTGGAATCCCTATCAATACTAGCTTGCTTAGATATCACTAAATTGATAGTACAGTTTAGCACACAACTGATAATCAAACCAAACCACCCTTATTTACTTTATACTTCCATCCAAACGTAACGTTAACCACAGATACGAATACTCCACCACAACAGATCGAAAAATCTTAAAAATCCATCTGCTGCCTCCCTATACAAATTCCGCCCCTATTATCTACTCCCAATTTTTGACGACTTCACTTCAAAATGGTGCGATTAAATTACAAACACTATTAACCAGCCCTGCGCGATCGTAACTATATTTGAAATCACTAATGAAACACCATGATATTGTGCTGTTGCTGTTTCTTTCACGGATTAGTTTCCCTTTCTGAAACTTTCACTGAGATTGCACACATAGATTCGAATATCCTGCGCAAAGTATTATTCAAAATGGATACTTCGTACAGAATAAAAACAATAATAACAATAATAAATATAATGGAAATACAATCACTGGATAGATGAGTGTGAGCAAATAAAGAAAACACCATACAGTAAAAGTTTTTTCATAAAAATTGCAATTTTCTTTCATTATTTCTCTTTTAAATGCTTGATTTATTAGAATCTTATAAAATTAAATCAAGAATGAAAGGAGCTTAGAGCTTAGACTCCCCGTAATTCGTAACCCATTTTTGCGGGTAAGTAAACTGAAAATTCATTTTGTAAACTGCCAGTGTCATTTCCTTTTTCTTTCAGGATACAGAGAGGTCTGAAACATAAACAATATTCTCAAACGAACCAAATCTAGCAATAAAGGCGCTTCACAAAATGCGAGTATCACATTCGCTTGAATTTGAGACAATAACGAATTATATTTTGGACAGATGAATACATTAAGTAATTTCATGTCTACTAAGAACGAATAAATGGAATGTAACGCATCAAAGTTGTTTTACGATTATGATTAGCATCACTTGTTTCTGCTGCTTGTAAAATGCCTAATTGTGCCTGCGTTAACAAACACAATGCCGATGCAACTGCTAAACCTGAAGTACCATGAGGTGTAAATTGCCGACCTCCCGTTGGTAATCGAACTGCTAAAGTGAATACACCAGAACGATAGTTACTACACGGTTCAACTGATATGGGAGTAGCCATCTGCAAAAAAATTTCTATAACTTTGAAAGACTTAAAAAAAGAAACAAAT